ATAATTGGTTGATGGACATTTGAAATTTAAATGGTCTTAGACTGAATCGGGAATAGTAGACGAGTGCATTCTGCTTGTAAGTCCACGTGAACTATAACAAATTTCCCACGTGATTATAATTATTAGTATCCCCCATTTAAATGTTTCCTATCACAAGTCAGAATGCCTTTTGTATATTATTAATATTAAATTATTATAATGATTTGTCATAACTCATGAGTATATGTGCTAGGTGCGGAACTAGACCAGCTACAGCCTACATTACCTTTATTTTGGGGATGCTAAAATTGTTAATAGCYGTCAATTACAACTAACCAATCAAACCTATCAAACCAATTTATCCTGATTCCAGGTTTCCTCTAAAAAATATTTGAATTAATTATGAAATTGAATGATAATATAATTTATTTTTTTGGTATTATTTTTTCCTTTGTATTTAAGTACCTACATAAATAAATACTTCTACAATATATTAAATAGGTAACAATAGAAAGTAAAAACAAGCAATACAYCATATTTCAAAACTATTTTTCTTGTTTTTATAAAACTAATTGATGCTAAGTTAAAAATATGGTGTAGTATGTTCTTACTGGTATATATTCCATAGGTACCTGTAATTTTCTTATTTATATGTTATATTTTTATTTTATTTAACTACGAGAAAGTACCTGTAATTTTAGTTGTTAAGATAAAAATATTTACTATAACCTTATAACGATAACTGCAGGTAAATAGGTATCCATCGAAATAGTAAACGATAACTTATATTTTCTGGGATAATAACAACACAATATGATGTATAATAATGGAAAACATTTTAAAATAMTTGATAATGATGATAATCACCAAAGTTTTAGTGTAATAAATTGTAATTAATTAGCTACAGGTAGAATACACGGTTTTTGGTAAATTACATTCTATAGTAGGTAGAACATCACACGTGGTTGATTGGTAGCATTTAGGTATCGTTGTTGTAGGTAACATACTTTTCCTTAACGAGCTGAATCAATTGTAGATTCACAGTATACTTATAAACTGTGCTAGTGTATTTCAGTATATACTTACTAAAATGATGATAGCAATTTGAACTTTGAAGTAATACAATATTAAACATGCTAGGAAAAGCCTCTTTTTGAATAGCATTCGCCAAACATTGATAATTTAACAGTGGTGATTTTTATTATTATCAAACTATTCGACAATTAATCTAATATAAAAGTTTTCAAAACATAATCGTTAAAATAATCAATTTGAAAAAAAATACACAATAATTATTAATATTGTGAATCTGTGTAAAAATTATAAAAGATGGTTTGAGTTTTTTTGGAATGCTAACAGCTAAGACCTTCTAGAACCTCCTTAGTTGCACAAAAATGAATTCAAAACATGAAATCACGACAGTACGTATATAAATTAATATTTGGCACGATTTAAATAATACAAATATTTTGAATTATGACGGTAGGAGTCACTAGTGATACTACTGATCACTACTGATAAGGTATTGCAGTATATTTGTATAGGTTAAAAATTKATCATATTTCTATAGAATATTAATATGTGATACTTATTGGTTTTCTCCGTCCGGCGACCACTGATAACTTATGGGTTACCAATTATCAAATGTTGATTGTCATGTATTTGAAGTTATATAAATTAGGACGCCACACCCGCATAATATGCTGTTTCCGTCTTACAAGTGCATAACATAGCAAAAACTGTTTCGCGCGGGAAAGAATCGAAAAAGCTACATTTATAACTAAATGTTCATCATGTAAAAAGGAGAATTTTGTCTGTGCAATATCGTTTTTATTTTTTCGATATTAGAACTACAAAAAATGTTATTCATGCTTAAAAAATACAAAAATAATGTATTATGAATCAATAAGAACTATTTTTGTATAAGTGATATCGAAAAAATGAAAACGATATTGGCGATATGGCACAGACRAAATTCTCCTTTTTATATGGTGAAAATTTCGTTTTTTTGTTATTACTGTAGCTTTCTCGGTTCTTTCCCGCGTGAAACAGTTTTTGCCATGTTACGAATTTGTAAGACAGAGACAACACATGTGGGTGTGGCGTCCTCTTAATAATATTATATTTTTAAACTATACATAATGTTTTGATTACCTGTATAGATACTAAAATGGTTTTTTGGTCTGTTTTTAAATGTTTTATAACTGATACCAGTAGTTGTTGGTATGCAAATCACATTTTTCTTTAATATATTAAATATAATTCATTATACATATGTATTAGGATTGTTAAGTGTTTACGTGGGATTGGTAATTATTATAGTCAAAAAATAATTTAAAAGCCGTCGAAACAAAAAAGTAGCTGAAATAACCAATTAGTACATTACGTTATATGGTTGTAATTTTAAGTTAAAGTATTTACAAGAAAATAACAATAAAAAAAACGAATTATAGAATAAGAAACATGTTGCGAATATTAAAAACTTGTTTGTAAATATATACTTGTAAATTATTTGCCAAATATTAGTGAAGGTTTAGAGAAAATCGGGCGTTGTGGAATGGGAAAGGCAATTTCATGGTCACCTAAATTGTAATATTTATATTATAAAAATAATATATAATTCATACTATAGAAGAATTGTTAATGAAATAAAATAGAGAGAAAAAACAATGTATATTACCAATATGAATAAAAAGCGTAGGAATTTAATTTTAACCGCTCCTCTTGGTTTTTATTACTACCAGAGTAGAGACACTGAACATTTGCAACACATATTTTATTTGAATCTCATAAATGGATATTTATATGATTGCATTGATTTTATTACAATTCTATAGCCGATTTTTCAACGTAGGCATCAAACATCAAACTATGATTATTGCGATTATAATAAATTAAACAATACTCGTATAATTTAGTAATTATTATATCACTTATAATTTTGTAAYAACAATTTTAAACTAATTTTCTAATGAATTCCAGTAGATTTATAGATGGGCAAGTACATATACATTTCCAAAAAATGAATAACACAGTAAATACTTTAAGAATTAAAATTGTTTTTTGAACGATTAAGTTACAATAGTCATATCCAGAATATTCTTCCAAGTGACTTACCTAAAAATATGTTTAATTTATACTTAGATACGTAGAATAATTTCCGTTATATTTTTTAATTTGTAATCTAATTATATGTACAGCTTAGCATATTTACTTATCCAGTATAGAGTAAATGATATTATAGAAGTAAAATGTAGGTACACTGGTACACGGCTTGTAGGAAAAGTTGAATTTGCAAAAATTAACTGCAGAGAAGATTATATTCATTATTTATATTTTTCATACTTTAATTGGACTTCAGTAATAAGGACAGGATTCAGGTTAGCCCACTGGATTTTTTTTATGGAAAGTGGCCTTTAATTTTTATGAAATTATTTATCCACATATCTTACGTTTGTTGTTTAGAAATGAATATAAGTGGAAGTGTTAGTGTGGTACTTAAGATTTTCAATAATAAAAATAACTATATTGAGTAATAACTATCATAAAAATCGAGAAAAACTGATTGAATTTTGCATAATATGCTTACGAAAAAAAAATTCTTCCCTATTTTTTAGTATATTTTTAATATTTTTAAATTATGATTAGGTAGTTAAGTTATTTATGTTAGAAGTTTTTATTGTGTCTTTAAAATATTTATGCATATATTATATGATTGGTAACGAATGAATTAGTTTGTGAAGAACGACAATATRATTATATATACATATCTACATAGATATATTTTTCAAATTCAAAATTACAATATATTTCAGTAATGTGGTCTAGAATGTTTAGCATACACATAACACATTGCGTCAAAATGAGTTCTGTTCAATAAACATTTTTATACCAGTTGTACATTTCGCGATAACACTATAAAATTATTCATTGTTCGTTAAGTGTTTCACAAACATTAATATATATATATATATATATATAATCTTTGTATCGTGCAAATTGTTTTACACGTCGTTTTATTTTATTATTTATTTTACTGTATAATTTACATCATAAATTATGCGCTGTAGTCGTTAATAATTTTTCATAGTTTCCACAATACTGATTATTACAAATGATTCATCGATTAATTTGAAAATATTGTTATTATTAAATATAAATGCATATGTGTATACACTGAGAGAAAATATTGTTTCGCATCATTATGTAATGATATAATGTTATAATTAAATTCTAAAGAAGTGTCTTTATTTTAGACGAAATGTAGGATGGTTTATGTAATTATATTGTATATTTATTATACGGAGTGTTGTTAAGTGAAGAAGTACTTTTTTCATATACAGAGTGAATTATAATAATTATTCATCGTTTTAATCATCTAACCTAATACGTTCTAAACTAACCACATGCTCGATAAAATGGTTGATTAGTGTAGTGACATTCGGAGAGTAGGTATACAGCTGATGTACGATAATATTATAGTTCAGAATTCGTGACTGCAGTTTATTATTAATACTATTATTATATAGTTAATATTAAGAGATGTGATTGATAAACGTTTTTTTAAGTACAAATTACATGGAATATTAGATTATTTAGATTTGTTATGTAAAAACGAGGYAAACAATTGAAAATACAAAATTATTGCATACCGTTTTCTTCATCAATATAATATTTTATCAATAGGTACTACCTACCTATATCATTTTAATTTGTTTCAAGTATAATTTGAGTGGAAATTAACGTTCATAAATATTAATGTATTAAAGAATATATGTTAGGGAGAAATTATATAGTCCTAGTTACTATAGGACCTAGTAGTATTTAATGTAGATCAGTGAATTCACCCTGTATATTTTTATATCTTAAACGTTGACCTTTGAAATGGACAATTATCTACATTATACACACACAATAGCAACAAAGGTCGACGGGTGTTGTAAAAGTATAATATATACTTATTTCCGTTATAAAGTATTTCGTTATTCTTGATCAATTATTAGATCGTATACCAGCATTTTCATTCGTAAGATTGTAAATGCATAACTTCTGATTTCTATGTATTTTAGTAGCCGCAATTTTATCTATATTATGACTTGTGTCGTGTTTCGAGTACTTAACAGTTCATATCGATAACTATAGTGGATATAATATTATTACATAGTCGAAAGTTTCCGCGTGTTATCGAATTAACTCGTGATCATAACATCACATTATTATATTGTACGTTGATTTTATATATACGTTTACTATGTTGTCAAATAGTTGTCATTTACATTTCGATGCACGCGAATAACCATCAGAAATCGTTTTAGCATTATATCTTTATGGTATTTAAACTTTAATATAAGATACACTTTTCTACGATGAACGAAAACGGCAAAAATTCAAAAATATGCGAAAAGGACACATACGGCACGTTTTTCGACGATGCTACTTCCGAAACTTCGTTGTTAAATGACAAGTACGTATACCGACCAAAATATTATATAATATCATAGTGACTTATTGATTTGAATTTTAAAACACTGCACACTATTGAAGACTTGCGAGCAATTAATGCAATTTTTCAGGAGACACATAAAAATGTTTCAGTAATAAAGTAGTAGTTTTAAAAATTATTTTTTTATTGGATTAATAAGGCTTCAACTTCTAAGGTCATTAGTCTGTAATAATTACAAAGTATTGGTCTTGAAACTATGAGGAAAAAATTACTTGCAATGAATGAATTTTTTTTTATTAAGTTACCTACTAATTTTGACCAAAATATGTACATGTTGTGTAAATATGTTTTACTTAACTGTTTTTTTTTTTTGTACCTTTTAATAGAATTTAAATTATTAGTTTTATTGTTTATCCACTTGTAATACATTATTAGACAGGAAAAATGCAGTAGGTATCTGACCCTCTGTTTATTAATTATTATACAAATGCGTCGTTTGTACATAATTGTATTACCTCAAGTTTTGAAAATATATTTTATGATTCTAATATAATCTTTAAATTAAAYTTTTTAAAAACAATAAAAATATTCTATAAATATTTAATTATACATTATAATGAAGGGAATTACAATCTGTTTAATTTTGGTTACTATTTATGACTAGAATACGCTTTAATATTATGTACTTATTTAATTTTTAAAGAATTTTGTTAGAAGAATCTATCAAATGTAATTTAAA